TTCTTTATAGAGGTACCTATAGAGATTTAGAATCAGCGACCCGAAAACACCTTAGAAGAAATTTACGAAATTGAGCACGAACACCACCAACAGAGTCGCAATGATCGCCGCAATTGATGGATCATAAAAACTTGAACTTTTTTTTTTTAGTAACGGCCTTCAACGACTTAACAAAAATAAGAAATGTTGATTCGGAAAAAATGTTCAGTGGTCAACGATAAAACCAGAATAATTGCAGTTAAAAAAAAAACGATTTAGCTTTTATTCTTTATGATTGTTTTGCCTGCAATTAAACTGTCAATTTTTCATGTACTCATACACACATAGATATATGTACATTAGACCGTATCACCTTACAAGCAAAAAAATGAAGTTCGACTTACACCTTTGAGTCTAAAGCATTTTTTGAAGGACATTTTTTTTTTTGGCCGAACCTAGGGGCCGCCTTTTTAGATTTTTCGGTGACACCTACACAATCACAGTTTTTTTTTTTAAATAGTTCTTTTGGACTAATCAAAATACCTCCTTTGCAAGAGTTGATTGATTTATGGAGGGCTTTAATTTACTGACATTAAGGTAGTACGTTAGGGTGATCTGGTGAGTAAGCCTAACGTACATACATGTGTACATACATGAATAGGTTACTTGAGATCAATGAACTTTAGGGACTCCTAAGTTCGTCAAAAAAAATATATATATATTTTTTGAAGTTGCCTACAAAATTATTTTAGACTCAGCGATATGGGCGATTTTATTTCTGGTGCGGTCTAATGTGTGTACATACATATTGTCGTTTAAAGTGCAAAACCGCCTATCGTCGTTTTGTAAAACCGCGTAACTACCATTTGTGGCAAAAATTTGATTTGCTCATAGGAAGCTCAAGGCATAAAGCCTTATTAGGTCATACCATCATATCGATATTAGCCTAGGTACTGCAAAATAACAGCATAGTTGCAATACCGCTGATCAAGAGTAGCATATATTTTTACTCTGTCCGGTTAAATCTTGATAACCTTACATACGCTGTTTTGTATTTTAACGACGATGTGTATGTGTGTGTGTTTTTTACACAAACTCAAGCGGTACTCCATGAAAACAATTAAGCTGGCAAAGTGCACGCAAATAGACGAAATACATTTGTATGTACTTACAATACCCGTAAATCCATACATCCATACATGCATACATACATATGTATCACAAGTTCAGGGATCATGTTTGCCTTTATTAAATAAAAGTTTGTAAACAGAAGAGTGCATGAACTTTGTTCAAGTTCACTTGAAAACTAAGTTTTTAACAAACGAGTTACAAATTACAACTTTAATGACGCATTCAGTGATTATGCACATGTCCACACATTAGGGTGCATCACTCTCTAAGCAAAAAAAAATTGGGCATTGCTTTTCCATCGGAATTATAAAATGTATACATATTTTGAAACACTTGCGCCAAAATATTTTGGATGAATATTAAGATTTACGCGAGCTAGGAAAAAATCAACTCAGATAATAGAAGAGTTTATGCTCAAAAGGTGTGCAAAAAAATGTTTAAAAATTTTATTAACTGAATCAAAATAAATAATGAGATTTTTTTGAGGTTTTTCAAATCGATCCAGTTCACGTAAATCTTAATATTTTTACGAAATATCTTGGCATGAACCTTGAAATAAAATTGATTTTATAATTCCGATGGAAAAACCGCATTTTTTTGTATGCACCCTGATGTAGATACACACATACGTACATACATATGTAATGACCCTTTTTTTCTAATCAATGCGCTTTCAGTTTCGACACTTACTACATATCGCTAATTAAAAATCATATGCTTTTGCATCTTTCACTTTGAAAAAAAAAAATACCTTCATTTGTTTTTATGATTGTGTGTAGGGAGTACCACTGTGCGCTGACTACATATTTCACATATGTAACTTCTAAAACTTGCCGCTAATGCAGCGTCATTTTAATTTGAAAAACACTTAACAATTCACTATCACGTTTGTACCCATGTACATCCATATCTTCATGTATGTGAGTACAAATATATACAAACAGCTGATTTTGATTAGACAAAAAATATGAACGTGTGTATACATATGTAGATATGTACATACGTAAAAATAGTTTCACCCGGAACGGAAAGAAAGAACTTTATCTACTGCTTTTTTAGCTGCGTGACAGTCGATAATGCGGACGCACGTAGACGCAGTTATAGATACGAGAAAACGCGAATCGCGGCTTGGGTGGAGTAGCAGCAGCAGCGAGTAGCCAACAACTAAATAAGTCAAACGCACATAATGACAACAGCTGGCGGTGAACCCGCAAAAACAGCAGCACCAAATAAAATACACTGGTAAATTTGTACCTACATACATACATACCTATGTGTACATACATACAACACACATAAACTTGTGCACCTGATAACAGAGTAAACGAATTTAAACATTAATTGAATGGACAAAGTTTACCTATTCTATCGCGCGGCGACAAAGCACGGCGATAGTGACAACCCCGTGACAACGCCGCGCGTTCGACCAATATTGACGGTCGAATACAATAGAGTTAATGGATAAATTGAAATTGTAAATATTGAAATATAGGTACTATATAGCGAAATTATTGAAAAGCTTTGTACATCCATACTTAACAAGTATAAGTGTATGTATGTATATGTAGTTCAATTATGTACAAACTTACATACATATGTAGTTATTTAGGTGATCGAATCAAATGAGTAGCGAATATGAAATCGAATGCGAATGCTTTTATTCTCACGAGATATCAGATGTACCTACATATAGCGTTTTTGTTGTGCGCTCAACGCTTGTGCTCACCATTAGTACAGCGCTTTGGCGCTTATCAGCCGTGGCGCAATGATGCGCTTCATTGACTACATACCCAAACTTACACACACGCACACACACACACAGACGCGCTTGGCTTCGGTACATAATTCACTTTGAGCCCTACAAAAGTTGTGCCCAGAGTCCTAGCAGTCGCTTGTCGTCAATTTTGTTTGATTAACTATCACAGCTGTTGGAAACGTACTGAGGAGTTATGCGCAAGCGTTTTGTGCGCTTTACGATGCACTTTGTCAGAAGCTTTCGAGCGTTTAGTACGTAATGTACTCCAGCGTGCCATTACAGCAAATTAAAGCAACGCATTCAGCGTACTCGTTAAAAAAATAAGTAAATGGCAGACAAAACTTAAACAATTCCATTACAAATGGTTGAATGGAATCTACATACCGCACAGCGTTCTCAAAAGCGACACAACTCAAAATTTGGCATTTTGGAAATTATGCGCCTAAAATGTGCACACAGCATTTATTTACCTTTCAGCAAAAGCTGCAGCTAATTGTGTTATAAATTATAATAATAAAAAAACCTAAGGTAAAGTCTCGCTGCCCATATGATTATCACGTGCTAAGAAATTGTTTTTTTTCGCATTTTCTGACAAACTTGTAATTTTGAGTTATGCTCCTTTTGCAGACGATGTGCGATATGTAAGTAAGGACATACTCGTACTTATATACATAGCTTTTTTTAGTGCTTATGTTTTGTTGTCAACGTTCTCGTTATGTCTGTATGTATGTACGAGTATGTTGCGGCCGTTGCGCATATTGCATTACCACTAGAAAAGCAGACAACAGGGAAGGGCAGCGGTGGCAGCAGTGGTAGCAGTACGGACTAACCAACTACTAACAGCTCAGCTCTCATGTGCTCTCAACAGTTGCACTTAAAATGTATGTAATTCAATTCCACATTTAACCAAAACAGGGCATACTATAAATGTATGCATTTACTTTTGTACTAACGAATACACACACCCTACTAGTGGACATGACATACAAACATACATACATACATATGTATGTACATTAGTGGAAATTAACACAATTTATTCATAAAAGTATATGTAGGCAGCTAAACTTTTGCGCACCCATGATATTTAGACATTTTTTTCGAAATTAGAAATCCATATTTCTACTTGTAATGGCACAAATATCAAATTACCGTACTAATTCGATAATGCAAACCAATAATTGGAGGGAGGCCTTACTGGAATGGAGAAAAAACATTAATATTATTGGATTGCTTGAATGTAGTAAGTAGGTAAATATGAATGTTCATTAGGGCGGAGTAATTTAGTTTCGAAAAAAA